TGAGCCAAAGCAAAATATATATAACAAGAAACAAATCTGAGATTGTGATGAACCAATTTTGATGTCATTATTGACAGGACAATACAGGTCGTTACCTTTGCTTTGTCAGAGATGTGGGAAAATATTAATTTGTTGACAAAAGGCTGCCAAGGAGAGCAAATTCACATTTACATGAAAATAAGCTATTAAAATTCATGCGTGCGGCTGCTCATTGCTCCAAGACACAAACAAAACAATCGTATTATCGCACATCCTGCTGTTTGTCTTCTTCTTCCTTCAGTTCCAGCTCCTTTATAGTCGTTGTGCTTTCACATTTGTGGAAGTTATGATCTGACGCAAGTCTCATTCTTCAAATGCACTTTCAAAAATATTTGCCTGTGTGCACAAGGGAGGAAAGTAATAGGTGCCGTTTGTCTGTGTTGATACCATATAATTTCTACTACAGGCGAATAAATGTCACTGCAGTTGAAAACCGCAATGAACTGTGCATTTAAAACTATACGTCATGCATATTCTTAAAGTTATAATTTTCTTAAAAACTAGCTGTTCATGGGCAGCATTTCTGCAGCACTGTCGGGGTACAGAAAAGGGCAAGCAGCTAATTTCCATTCAAATTTTAGAGGCGAGCGGTGCTTTCTGTGAACTCCTCACCTGCTCATGTGTGACAGGAATGAGTCTGTGTTTGGAAAGCTCTCTCATGACGTTGAGGTCCGTCCTCATGTCCAACTTGCAGCCGACAAGCACCACTTTGGCATTGGGGCAGAACTCCTGTGTTTCACCTTGCCACTGTGCATCAGAGAGACAAACATATATCAGTGCACATGACCTCTATTATGCTACAGTACGAGAGTATCTGAGTACTTGAGCACTATGTTCATAGTTGCATCTCATTTGAAAACCTTGGACATTAACTTCTTACTAATATGCTCTTGTGGGAAGCCTTTCATAAGATTTTAGGACCTGGTTGAAGCGAACGCACTGTTGATGTTGGTAAATACGGTTTGGAAATAAGGCTCGGTGGATTTTAGGTAAGATTTGTTTGCAGGCTTGTCAAGTCCTTTCTCTCTGAACTGGAGAAAATGAGGAAAAAAAATCTTCCTCAAACTATTTCCAAAGCACATTTTTCTCTAAATTACCATTTTTTAAATTGTAGCTTTAAGAGCTCCATAATTGGAATGAAGGGGCCTAGTTCACAGCTTAAAAAATGCCCGTGTATGCAGACATGTGGGAACAGTCTACAATTATTAAAATGCTCATAAATGAGGTGCTGAATTGAGATTTATTTGACTTGGGAGCAGTTCCTTTCCATCAGGTCATAAATTCTTATCTCCTGCCTTGAGAGGGCCTTAATCCCATCTGCAAATCTGCTGTCCAGCAGTTTAACTTCTCACCGTGCTGCAGTGATATTCAGTTAGTTTATCTGTGTAGTCTCTTTGCAGATTAACACTGCAGATTAATGGCATTCAAAATGTGGAACTGACAGGCTTATCATATAAAAACTGTAAAAGAAACACTAAAATCTAAAGTAATAATAATAAAATGAATTTCTAAAAATAACTTAATAATATACACAAACTATCTCAATTAGTTTGCTCATCATTTTAATTGAATTTTAATGTTATTTTCTTATATGTGAGTTCTTCTTGCCTGTGTTTAATTGGGTGATTTTTGTAACTATGAGATACTTGCTGCTGCCTATGTTGGCCAGGTCTCCCTTGAAAAAGAGGTTTTTAATCTCAGTGGGATCTTCCTGGTTAAAGAAATGTTAAATAAAAAAATAAAATAAAATAAAGATGTTACCGATATAATTCCTCTGTGTTCTAATGTACCAAATAAAAGAAATCAAAAAGAGCAAATATGATACTTGTTATACTCATGTACAGCCAATCACTGCAATGATTTTACAACACAAAAAGAATAACATAGAAAACAACTTATTCTATTCCAGGTTATTTACCTGATACCTTTCTTCATATTTGATGGAAAGTACAAATATTTGCTAGTTTTAAGATTCTGGTTCTGACTTCTGGTTCTGAGCTCTTCATGGAAAAGCACCAGCTCGTACCATTTATTTGGAATTCTAGGATTTTTGGTATGACCAAATAATATTTTGAGGATTATATGTATTCTCTGTTCTTCTTGAAGGACATTCAAAGCTCTTCAAAGCCAACACAGGGGCCATAGACACTGAATATTTACCTCCTCTGTACATATTGATGACCAAATATTTCAAAGTTGGATTCATCATGGTATAAGGCCTGATGCCACTGACTTTCAGTCAAGTGTAATGTGGCATACCTCTAACTTTCTAAGTTTCCCTTCCTTAATAATAGCTTCATGACTGCCACACTTCCACTGAGACCATTTCTGATGAGGCTTCAGTGACCAGTAGACGGATCATCTGAAGGTGTAGAAGCATCTCTCATGTCTTACTGCAACATGCCACGTTTTTGGCTAATAGCTCTTTGGGAAACAACTTGTTGGTGCAAATATGTTATTTTATGCCTGACAAACTGTTTTGTTTATTCAATGAAGGAAACGGGAACAAATTATGTGTTTTTGTGACAGGCCAATAGTAAAGTGCCTAAAGATATAATTTAAAATTGGTTCTTTGCTTTTCTGCGGTATGTAGATATAACACTGTGGTTCATCGTCTGAGTTTTTATAGCTTTAAAATAAAATCCTCTGAAAAAGTTTTGTTACACAGCCTGAACTGAAAATGAATTAAAAAGCAGGCAAAGTTCAACGAAAAACTTTGAAAGTCCGGAGAACTACAACTCACGATCACTTAAAAAATTCCAAGAAAGTTTGGCTCACTGGAAGTAAAATATTAAGACTTTATAACACTACATCATCAAAAATGTGTAAATCTTAAAGTTGAAGGCTGGAGCAACACCCACACAATCACCAGCATTTTCTGGCTTACTGTACCATTAAAATGAAACACTGGCACTGTTGTTCATTGCTCTGAAACTGGAATTTA